TGTCATTAACTTTACTAAAGTATATAAAAGTATATTTCCCTAAGTGTACTTTTATTTACTGTGTACACTGATATAAGTATACTAGCAGTTTACTAACAAGGCCCACAATAAGTTTATGAAAGTACACTCAGAAGTATACTGAAAGTAATCTTCTAAGTATACTTTTAGATTAATCTTGAAATATACTACAAATAATGGTCATACATGTAGAAGGCTTCTGCCTGGGTACTGTATGTAACCTAATGCAGAGGGGACTAAACATAGTATCCAGATGGTGCCGGGAGCAGGAACTATCTTTCTGTCAACCCAAACACGACAGAAGTGGTTCTTTTTACTCATAAGAAGTCAAGGAAAGGTTACTCACCTCCAAAGTTGGAGGGTGTAGAACTCTCCCTGTCAGAGTCAATTTAGTTCTTGGGTGTCTATCTAGACAGGAAGCTTAACTGGAAAAGACAGTAAATGAAAAGTGTAAGAAGGCAGCAATGTGCCTACACCAGTGTGCCGAGGCAGTCAACCAACTGGGGAGAGTTAACAGTGTTACTGTTATGAGTACCAGGACATACTGGCATTTATGGTAACGAGAGAGCTGACTACCTTAGAAAAGCTGGCAGTCAGGCCCGCTTTAAAGGACAAGAGCCTGTTGTAGGTACCTCAACAAGTCTGTTGGACTGGCCTACAGGCCTGGATCAGACGTCAACACTCAATCCTCTAGAGGGAGCTGACGGACTGTAGACAGGCATGAGAACTGATAAACGGCCCAAATCCTTGGCTTGGAAAAGCCCTTCTTGCCCTGACAAAGAAAACTTGAAGTACTCTGGTTGGAGTCCTAACTGGGCACAATTAGCTCAWTCGCCATAAAATGGTGATGGGACTCCATAAAAATGGTCTGTGTGATGCCTGCGGCATTGAGAGACCTCTTTGCACTACTTGGGCCAATGCTTGGCTCTGAGTGGTCAAAGGGAAAGAATTCTTGGAGAACCTTTTATGGGTCCTGAGAAGCTCAGAACACTGAGTGTTTCTTATCTGGTGTCCTTCATCCGAGGGACGCGAAGGTTTGAATAAAGACCAGTGTCTTTTTGGGGAGAGCAATGGGCCCACTTATGAGGTCCCTGCTCACATGAGATTTACCCATCCCCATATATAACCATACTACAAATAAAGTTTATCTTGGCCAAAAGGTTTCAACTAGGGATGCTAACAGTTAATCAACTTATGATTAATTGTCGAATAATGGTTTATTAGATTAAAATGTCTTCCATTCGATTAATTGAAAACATCAGTTTAAACCTTATTTCAGTGTAGTTTTGCCTTCATCCAGCAGAGGGTGCTGCTGCTCTACTCCGGCCCTGTTCAACTGAGCAGGAAGCAGTCTCCATGTGGACGGGACCGCAAACGTGCCAGTCTTATTTATTTTATTTGCAACACAACAATAATAATGGACTACACCAAACTGGAATGAAAAGTACCGAAGGCTGTACCGGACCATCCAGCAGTATGACGCTAAACACAAGAGAGCAGGACGACAGAGAACAGTAAGCTAACTGTGGCTAATGTTAGCTTCCTCTTGTTGAGTTTAACAACGTGTGAAAGAACAACAACAAAAAGTTACAGTCGCTACCAATATTTAACTTGAAGTTAATCTAATCTGTGTGACATAACACGGCCAGTAAACCAATCTCATGAACAGTAACTGACCATCATGCCATGCAGCCCAGCTAAAATAGAAGCAGAGGGAATGTAAACAAACAAACAAACAAACAAACAAACAAACAAACAA